TACAGAGCCAGCATGATTTTCTTGTATATTCTTTTCTCACCCTAACAATAAGAAAATATGTCGAGATCAATTTGATAACATATTCAGCCGATGATAAACCATTTCAAGGTATTTGAATATGTCGTATGCAGTCTTAAGTCCTTTCATTGGAATAGCAACATCAATAGTTATAGAGCTTAAAATCTAGGAGATAACTTGAGCATTCTCTATCTTCCACTGCTTCATCCCCTTTGCATCATTAGCATCAAACATGGTTGTAGAGCCATTAATATAGCCCTACAACCCTTTCCCTTCAACAAACACTGGAAGTGAAACTTCTATAAAGCATAGTTGCTTCCATCAAAATTAATTGATATAATTTCAACTTTTTTAGGTCCCATGTTTAATAGATAACAAATGAAATCCAATAGAAAAAATGCAGTTTGAATTTCAAGATTAATAAAAAAGTCTGGAAGGAAGGAAACGAATCTCTTACAAGCAACAAAGAATTTTTCAAATTAGCAAGAACACTTGAAACTAAGAAATGAGTTCAAAAAAGAAAGGAAAAACCTATTGCCACCTTAGAGAGTAGATTAGAAGTCTTTAGCACTTGTTCAAACTTGATGAAATCTTTAGGATAAGCAAAATTGGGTTAGGCCACATAACCTATGAAGTTTCACTTCAAACAAGTGTCTTTCAAGAGAGATCTAGTAAGATTTCTCTTATGAAATTGCAGAATTGAGAAAACAGATCTTAGGGTTGATCAGAACAACCCTAATATTGATCATTTAGTCAAGAAAACAACAGTCATAAAAGATTAATTAACAAAAAGAAATCATAGAGCAACCTTCTTTGATACCATGTTAGTTTAGGCAAGAGAAAGAGAGGAAGAGATGAAACATTAGAGAAGAGAGACTATTCAATTGGTCTATCTTGGTCGATCCACCTAGAAATGTTATATTTATATTAAATAGTAAATGGACAAGATTATCCTTACAATACAAATAAACACTTTAGATTACATGCCCAATAATTTACATACAAGAAGAAATAAAATGACAAAACTACCCCTCTGTACAAGGCAACTTGAAAATGAAAAAGAAAAACTAAATAAGAGACCATTGATTGAAATGAGAATAGTGTTACCTCTCTCTCTTTGTTTTCAAAGATTGAGGTAGAGGTCACTAGAGTTGCACCGCTCACAGTTCAAAGTCCTCCTCTGCCTTTCTCTCTCTCTCTCTCTCTGTCTCTCTCTCTTGGAGGGTTTTGGAGAAAACACTTGGAATAGATGTAATCAGARTACCTATTTACTTCTACCAACAATTGGAGCAAAATTTCCTTTCATTTTTGAAAGCAATATTTACTCTTTCACTTTTGGATTTTGGAAAAAACTAACAAACTCGGAATAGATATAACCAGAATACCTATTTACTTCGACCAACAATGAGAGCAAAATTTCCTTTCGTTCTCTGAAATCAATATCTACTCTTTGTTTTCAATAGATACGTTAGTCTCTACACAAAGTTGCATAAAAAAGCGATGAGTTTTTGGTTTTTGAAGCCTTATCAAACATATGCAAATCTAAACCAGAGTGCAAATTTGAAATGGTTCAGCATTTGCACTCCAACCAAACGCAACTTAAAGTTGATAGCGTTTGTGAACTATATTTGGTGGATATTGAAGATATGGATCATTTATTCTTACATTTCCCAACCATAAATTCTATTTGGTTCGGCACCAATCTCGTTATACGCTTTGATGAATTTCCCACTTAGAGGCTTGAGGTTTGGATTTATTTCTGCTAGAGTAAACAGGATGTCACACTGCCTGATGACATTAGTCTATTTAGTAAATTCTCAATCAGTAGTTCTATGGCATTGTTGGAAAATTCATTGGTACAAAGTCATGGAATAACAACCACTAGATTCTCAAATTGATGATATGGTGTGGCACGAGCAAATTACCATACCTAATGTTCCTATTTCCTAATCCAAGAAATACTGTTTAGCCGGGTTGTTAATAAAACTGAGTCGGCTGATTCAGAAGTATCTGAGGCTTGAGCATTTAGAGCAATTTAGATCTCCTATTCACAGGAATCTTACCCATGTYTACCCACATGACACTATAGCTGTACATTGGGAACATCTCCCCATGAATAATAGCAACTGTAATGAAGTGTGGGTAGGAGATCCGATATTCTAAAGAAATTTTCTCTGGTTTCCATCTCCTTTGTTCTTCGTACATAGGCGACCTAATTGCTCATTACTTTGCTAAATTTGGTTGTAATGCTACAAACGCCACTTCTCGATCTCTTCCTCCTGATGTTATTACGCCTGTTGAAGGTGATTTGATGCAATGAAATAGCTTACAGGCTTTCTTAAAAAAAATTCATGGAAACCGAGTGCAGTTGTCATAAACTATATAAAAACTATAAGGAGGGTAATTATTTTACCCTAAAATTTATTTTCAATATATTTTTTTTCATGAAATAAGATATCAAAGTCATTTTTAATTCATTCTACTAATAATGTATAATATTTTAATCATTTTTAATTTAATTTATTATCGTTATTCTAATTGCATTCCGAATTCGTTCCAATGTGAGTATATGAAGGTGTCAAATTTGGATCTCCCATATATTCATTTGAACCCATTTGCATCTCCCTATTCTAGAATGTTGATGGTGCATATAAATGCCAATGACTTAGTTGTCGAAGTGATCACTCAGCATCCTTGCCAATAGGAGGTGCATGATCAAACCTGCAAAACTACAAGCTCTCCGTGGTATGGCTAGTGTGCCTTTTACATGCGAGTTCAGATTTCCTCCTCCTAAAGTTGGTCCCCACATGCAGCCACACATTGGGAAACATCTCCATATTTGTATGTTTTTATTCATGGGAGATTTTCCCAATGCACAACTGCAAGGGTACCTTTGTGCATAGGTTCTTTGGTCTGGGTAGGAAAGTTGTCTACTAATAAGATTAGAACTCCTCGGTGGGCATGGCACATCTTCTATAAATAAGATGCATCTAGAAATGGAACCAGCGCAACATAACTCCCTTTTTGCTCCTACCTTGTCCTCTTGTTTTCTTTGCCAATCAACCTCCTTGGCTTGGCTCAATAACCCCTTACTTATTGACTTAAGCATCGAAGAGATCACCCTAGGGCATACCTCCAGACTCTTTGCTTTTTGCAAGTCTTCAGAGGAAGCTAGCTGTGTTTGCTCACCTTCATCCATCCTCTTTCCTCCTCTTTATTTATTGTCTGAATTTGGACTACAACAAATTAGCACCGTCTATGGGAACCTAAATCAGAAACCCAATTTATATTGGGCCTAGGTGCAAGCACTATCAATTCATGCATTAATAGTCGAGGCGGCATCAAAAAATGGACAACCTTTACAATTAGGTCCATATGGCTAACTAGCAAATGATCAACCTTTATGACAAGGTCCACAAAAGGGTCAACCTCTATGACGAGGTCCACAAATGGCCGATTGGTCGACCTCTTTGAGAGGTCCACAAATGACCAACCTCCATAAATGGCAAATAAGCAAATGGGCTACCTCTATGACAATGTCCATAAATGGCCAATAAACTGTTGACCTCTACGTTGAGGTCCACAAATGATTAACCACATCACCATGAATGGCGAAAGCAACCTGGATTGGTAGCTGACTTGTGCTAACTCCATTAAAAACAAGGTAAAGGTTGACCTTAAAGTTCGGTGAAGCAACTACTTCGTTCGGACGATTTGGACAAGTCATCACCTTGTCCTTGAAAGTGGGAGCAAATGATGAGGCCAAATTTGACCACCAACCAAAGCTAGCCATGTAGCGCCGAGATTGAATAAGGGTGCCCTCGTGCAAAGGTTATTTGGGTTGGTTTGGAAAGCCCTCCTAACAGGATTAGAACTCCTTGATGAACATGACACATCCCCTATAAATAGGTATAAGAAACCTCTGGAAAAGGGACAAACACAATATAACTACCTTCTAGCTCCACCTCACCCTCTTGCTTTTCTTGCCAATCAGCCTTCTTGGCTCATCCCAACAACCCCTTGCTCACTTACTGACATAAACATCATAGGGATCACCCTAGGGATATAACTTAGGACTCTCTGCTTTCTTGTAGATCYTCGGAAGCAATTCGGTTCATCTACTCACCTTGGGTCATTCCCTTTCCTCTCTATTTATTGTCTAGATTCAGATTGCAATAGTAGATGTGGGGACCAATTTTGTGAGAGGAAATTTGATTTCCTCACGTGCAAGTGCAACCTACTTTGCCCCCTTACTGATTCCCCTTAAGGCTCAGTTTGGAAAGAGCACAAATGACAAATATGTATAGCATAAATACATACAAAATAATATAAAATATAAGGTTTTGCACTCTACATATTTACATTTGTACTCTTTTCAAACTGAGCCTAAATGTATATCTTGTAATAAAATAATAAAAATTAAAAAAAAACTCATGTATGTATACTTTATGCATGATAGCGAGCATCGGATGTTCGCAATTGCTTGTGTACGAGAAGGGGACAAAGAAAGAAAAGGATGAATAAAAATCAATAAACCTTCAAAGGGAAAAATTATTATTTTTATTAAATTAACATTACTTCAATTAAGCTTATTTATATCACTTAATCTTAATATATAAGATTTGAGGATGAGAAGGTTGTTGGACCCATACCAACAGAAAATAACCTCCAATCAATAATACAACAAATCCACAAATTAACCAACACTCTATTTACAAATAACTTTGGCTATTCACGTTTGACAGCTTAAGCTCTCTACAGGCTCTGTCTACATGAGACGTTCAGATAGTTTGACCAATCAGAACCACCCCCATGAAAAATAACTTTTGAATTCCCATTTCATTAGTGTATACCTTATAAGTATACAAGAGTACTTCTACTTCTAGGGTGCCCCATGCAACAGTTTTCTTATAAGAAAACTGTGGAACGTGGACAGCAGCCAAAGTTTTTGTCCCAGAATTGAAGCTAGGCGCCCCCACCCATCAACTGAAAGTAGCAAACCCTCCACCCCTCATCATCTGTTTGAACTCCCTGTAATTAACCATGCCATCTCCATCCACATCAATATTCCTTATCATATTCTTGCAATCTTCTATGGTTCTCCCTTGCTTGAGCCCCAGGGAGGCTAATACCGACTTCAATTCCTCGACTGTGATGAATCCATCTCCGTTCTGATCAAAGACATTGAATGCCTCCCTCATGTCTTGCTCCTCATCCCGCTCGCCCATGAGTGTCTGATACAATGCACCAAACTCGTCGATGTCAACGCAGCCGTCTCCATTTACGTCGATTTTCTCGATCATTTGAGTTAGGTCGTCGTCGGGGATGAAAATACCCAACTTCTCTAGAGAGCTGTTGAGTTCGTTTATTGTGATCCGGCCGTCTGAGTTTTGGTCAAACATTTGGAACACCCGTTTGAGCTCTGCAGGATCCATCCTAGCCATGTCAATCGATGATGACGAAAAAGACAGACGTACGTCGATGGGATTATTCTTTAACCTCTACTACAGTAGTCGTTTGGTGGGGATTGRCCAAGCGGGGATGGAGAAATGATCCAACTAATTAACTTTCTTGGGGAGCAAAAAGTGGAGGATTGTTTGTATTAATTAAGAAGATTGTGACTTGTGAGGTTGGAAATCCTTGGCAAAATGGTTGGCATGGAAAGCCGCCTGCCTATGCGGTGAAAGTTCGTTGGTCTCGTCGAGAGAAAAGTGGAGAAAAAGTAGTAGTGCCTTAAAATGGGCATTTGGTTTCCCAAAACAAAGGTTGGATCAGTCTTTACTGGTGGCCTTAATTTGAAGAAGCTGTATTTCTGCAACTGAATGTCTGTTTATGTTCTCTATTTTTTTCTTGCCTATTTATATAATCTATACTATATTCTAAATTGCACATGTCCACGTCAGACTCCTCATTTTGTTTCCCAAACCTTATAAAATTTTGTGGTTTTTTGAAATTTTCAAAAATATATAAATAATTAAATAGGGGCCTAGTTAAGTTCACCCACAACTAATTCACTTACCAAGTTGAATGTATAACATGGCCCATCTTTTTAAAACCATCCCGTGCATTGCACGAGTCTGTTCTAGTATCTATCTATCTATCTATATACACTAGCAAGGACCTATGCGATGTATGGAAAAATCTGAAAGATTTAATAATTTTATTTTTTATTTAATGTTGATTTATAAAAAATAATTATTGTTAATTGAATATGAATAAATATTTTTTAATAAATTTAGTTTTATTAATAAATTGTAGTAATTTTAATATTTTTTATTCTTTTTAGTATTTTTAAATAAAATTTTGATTAACTTTAAATAAATAAAAATAATTATAAAAGCTAACATTTTTATTAATTCTACTAATAATTAACAATTATATTGGAGTGGAAACGGGGTGGGTTTAGGAAAGGGCACCCCATCCCTTTCGTTGCTCCATAGTTAAGACACTCTATTCAATCCTTGCCCCATCCCTAGTGTCACGCAGGTTCAGGGCGAGGTAACCACTCCTCAATGTCGGGTGAGTTCAAGGGCAAGGCACCCCATTCCTCATCAAGGATGGAGAATCTTCGAATTTCTCTGTCTCGTCCCTAGTATTAGGTCATGCTAGGTCGGCACGACACAACCCGCATGTGGCCCACATAAAGTATGAGTCATGTCATGTTGTCGCATGAGGGATCTCAGGCCATGCCTCCCTCCTCTAGGATAATTTGGGGGGCCGGTTTGGCACAGCCCATGACCCGAGCCCACACAAAGTGTGAGTCATGTCGTGTTGCCCCATGAGGCATCTCAGGTTGTACCTCCCTCCTATAGGATAATTTGTGRGGTCGATTTGGCACAACCCACGACCCGAGCCTACACGGGCCCGTGCTGTGCCGTGGATCGAGCTAGTTCGTGGGTCAAGCCTTGGCCCAGGTCATGTCGAACACCAAGCCAAGCTCAAGGCAAGGCACCCACTCTTTGTCCAAGGTTTTTAAAATTGGACAGGATAGGGAACCGTTATGGGGTCAAACGGTCTGACTGTTCGGTTCGAACAGATGACCCGCTGTCACAAAAAAAAAACAAAAAAATTAGAAAAATAAAAAGGCCAAAAACTGTTGTCTGGGTTAACAGTTTGACTGCAGCAGTTTGCTAACCAAATAAACGGTTTTTGGACAAAAACGATTTTGAGGTAAAATAGTGTCCGGTTCCCAACTTTTTCAGTCTAACCATCTGGGTTGATCCAGTTTTGAAAACACTGTCCCCATCAACCCAATATTCAATTTGATGATTGAAATGATCAAAAGGATATATTGAGTATCAACCACATGGTAAACTTCTAAAAATACACTAAATTGTCCTTAATATTCAAAAATGTAATTTTATGAAAATTTTGGAAAATTTATTATACTTGTGTAATTTTGAAATTTTATTCACTTTTTTTTTAATTTTTATTAAATAATTTTGTTTTTCTTTTTAAATGGTTTACATACAGAATTATACTAATTTATCTTATAATTTCAAATATAAACTAACCAATAATTTCATTTTTCCAATATTATACTAATTTATCTTGATAATTTGTGTAATTATTTGTTCAAATTATAGCTTTCCATTTCCCATAGCCATTTATCTTTAATAAATTTCAATAATTTGCAATGAAAATTACATAACTTTCAATGGTTTTCCAAAATCTATCAAATGTAATAAATTTTCCTAAAATTTCCAAAATATTCAAATAATTTTAAATAATAATTTAATGCATTTTAAATAAACTTTCAAATACTTTATATCTTTTAATTTCAAAAATGTTATTTTACRAAAATGTAGTTTTATGAAAATTTTATTACATTTGTTTAACTATGGGGATTTATTGATTTTTTTTTAAATTGTTATTAAATATATATTTTTATTTAGTAGTTTACTAAAAAAATTACACTAATTTATCTCTTATTTTTCAATATAAATTAATTAATAATTTTATTTTCTGATATTATAATATTTTGTTCCCCCATTTGTATTTGGTTATTAATTATAATAATAACAATAACTAAATTTTTTTACTTTCTGATAATTGTTAAATATAATTCTCAATTTTATACAAATTAGTTAAAGAGTTTTCAATTTCTATAAAATGTTGTTAATGAGTTAATTTATAACAATATTTTTTTTTTGTAATTTACTAATCGTATTTATTTACTTTTGGTAATAACACTATTTAGTACTCATTGAATATGGGTGGGATTAAATATTAACCATATTTAACTATTTATTAATTCATATGAATATTTTAAATGAGGGAGAGTGTCTATAGATTGGGGGGATGTATTTTAGGAATTGATTAGGGAGTGGGGCAACATGATACTTTCTTATTGGTTTAAATGAGATGCCTTAGGAGAGAGATTATAAGAATAATTTTAGGTAGTTGGGTGACATGGCTTAATGAGAGTGGTGGGATGGGGAGAGGAGAGAAAGTCAAAGAGAATGTAGGGTGGGGATAATGGAGCAAGGAGAGGCATGGTGACGGGGACCCGTGCGATGCACGGGCTTTGTTAAGCAAAAGTTAAACAATAGAAATACATAAGAGTATATAATTATTTTATATTTTAACTTTTTAATAAACAATCCGAATCAAACTTAACCCAAGTTGGTTGGTTTTCTATTATTTCAGATCGACTTTGGTTTTATAAATATATATTAATATTTTATATTTTAAATTTAATTTTTTAATAGGGAAAGTAGGAAAATTCCCATATTTCTTAGTCTAAAATATTTTATATCATAGATTTAATTTATGTCATTTATTTTTTAATAATATCATTGTAATTTATGAAATTTAAAGTTAATTTTTAAGTTTAAATCTTTTGAGCAAACGAACTAAACCGAAAATATACCCAAATTGATACAACCCGAGTTGATGGATTTTCACTAATGGTCAATTGGTTTCGAGTGACAAACTGCGTACTTGACCAAATCGAGTGTCAACTAAATTTATAGTCAAATCTCTAATAAATAACAATAGTTTAATCTCCAATGATTATTGAAAATTTATAGCAAACATACACAATCATTGAACATAAGTTTATAATGAAAATATAATAGATATATAATAAAATACTATAACTACAAAAAAATAATAATTTATTCAATAAATAGTGTGATCTCAAATAATAGCTTAATCTCTAATAAGTATTAATCTATAAATTATAAAAAATATATAATTACTAAAAAATTTATAACAAAAATACAATAAATGCGACAAATTAAATTTAAAAAGTTAAATAATAGTTGTTTAATCACCAATAATTATTGATAATTTTCAACTAAATAACAAAATAAAAAACAATAAATATATTTGTAAATAATTATTGAAATATATTTATAAAAAACAATAAATAATTATTGAAAGTAAAATAAATAGTAATTATTATTAATATGAATATTATGAATTGCTATAAGTGAAATTAGTTATTTACAATATTATTTAGTCGTTGAAATAATATTGTTATTTAAATTCTTAGAATATTAATTATTTATTGAATTTAATAATCCATAAAATTATAATTGTACTTGATGAGGGCGGATTTGGCCCTCCAGTGAAATTGTGACACCTGGCACCTCATGCAAACCAAGTGCAGCCTCTTGACAACTGGGCAGCTCGGCAGAGCTTGCCACTTACAGATAGCTTGGCACGCCACAAGCAACTCAGTAGAGCTCGCCACAAGCAGCTCGGCATAGCTCTCCCCAGGCAGCTCGCCACTTGTAGGGTAGCTCGGTGCTGAAGAGCAGTTCGGCATATTGCAGGAACATCTCCTACCTGACAACCGTACCTGACAGATCTGGAGACCTACGCCCAAGTCTCTCGCCAGGTGGCGCCGTGCCTGCCAGACCTGAGAGTTATCCCTTGCCTGGCAGAGCTGTACTCTGCAACAACTGCCTGCACTCACCACCTCAGCTCTGGCGGTAACGGCTGYGGCAGAGAGACAGAAGCAGTTATGCCTGACTTGGCAGAGGCGGTTATGCCTGATTTGACAGGATACCGCTATATAAGGACTCCGACCCCCAAAGACAAATGGGAGAGGATGGAAAAAATGGAGGTAATCCCTGCTCTCTAGCTCTCGCATTTCTCCAATATCATCTTCAAGCTCTCTACAATCAGAGTGTTAACTTAAGCATCGGAGAGTCCCCACCGGGTAAAGACCCTCGGGTCCTCTGATTCAGTTCTCGTAGGTCCCTCAGCTCCCGTTGCCTACAAAGGAGAGAAGATTACCTCATGCAGAGGGCAGTCGGGTTGCGCTACACCAGGGAGCTCCACCATTCTCTGAGTCACAAGCCGCCTAGGAGTAGGGCAAATGACGAGTCCACCAAGGTAGCTCACCACCAGGGAGCTCCACCATTCTCTGAGTCACAGGCCGCCTAGGAGCAGGGCAAATGACGAGT